CCAGAATCCACATGTCCAGCATTCTGAGGTTCTGGTTGAGGGTCTATCTTGGGATTGGACATTTGTATCCTTGCAAGATTCAGTTGAGCCTCTACTATTTCTTGCTTATCCTTCATATCCTTAACACCTGTTTGCACCTGTGTGTGATGTTGACAAAAACCAAAGAGAGAAGAATGTTCAATGAACGCATTGGCCAACAAAAAGAAACAGATAAACACATAGGGATGGTAAATAAAAATACTTCCGTCCGGTTTTCATGCTAAATCAACCAAAAGCAGTAAACCTTACTAACAAGACCTTTCTGTAATCATACTTGGAGTAGTCTTGCTGGGGTAAACATGTTTCCCAAAACTACCAATTTAAATGCCTAGAAGATAGATTTAAACGAATTTCAGATTTGGTTAAAGCATGGGGGATCGGAAACTTTGCTTCCACTCTCTGTTTAGTTCTGACATCATTAGTAGACATGAATTGGCTGTATAGCACACAGACAAAAACTTAAGCAGGAATGCTGGTCCTGCAGATGAATAGATGAAATACTCCAAGATGAACAGAAGAACAAATGCAACCAAGATGTTAAGTTCACACCAAAAAAGAACGGTAAAGAGGCAACATACATCTCTAAGAATACCCTCCAACTGTCGCATCGTTCCATCAGTATTCCCATGATTGTTTCCAACAGATATCTTCAAATCATCCACAGAATTCTCAAGATTGCGGGTTCTGCTCTCTAGTTGTGTTAGTCGTGCACTAACGCCTTCCAACATATGTAGCAAATTATCGGCATGCTTCTTCATGGTCTGGTCAATCTCTGACACAATTGCAGCATTGCGGTCCTTCTCTAAAATAAGTTTTCCAGGTTCAAGGGAATCCATTGAACCATAATTCTGTAGAAAACAAGGAAAGAGTAGCACCGTGTAAATAAATAAACCACGATAAAACCCACATACAGTTATCGCTCACATATCCCTTTCCAATTGTATACAACTAGGATAAAAGCCCATCATGGTAGACAACACATTAATGCTTCTAATAACATCATCTACAACCGATCTACTCCTAAATAACACATAACATAAATCGAAACAAGATCAATCAAAAAGACGCCATGCTAGGACAGGCTCCGCCCACGGGAAAATTCGGTATAATCCTCCCTTAACAACAAACCCCAAAATTTCAATATGCTAACAACAAACAAAACTATACAAAATCTCACTACAGAAAGAATCAAACATATATATTGATGCATGTATTGAATGCCTACTTGTTCTTATCAACTGACTGATCACTCAATCCCCCAAGCAAACTAATGTAGCTTTACAGAAACTTGAGATTCAATTAGATCAACAATTCTTGATATCATCATATAATCTATTGGACATCCAACTTTAAAAGATAAATTCAATTCCAAGTGAAAATCGAAGAAGCAGAAAAGGCTCCGCGATTCCGATTCACTTCCGATCACTATGACGAGTTTACACGCAAATGCAAACATGAAATCAAGTAGTTAATGGAAGAAATTATTACTCGGATTGGAGATGCAGTGTTCGACTTGGACTCGCCAGAGTTCCAAGCCCTAGTCGCTCCTCCTCCTCCGAGATTGGGCGCAGCATCGAAACTCCGCGACGGGGAAGAAGCACCGACGACGGGGCGAATCGGCTGGAAATCGTAGCTGGGAAGCATCTCTTGAAACTCCTTCTTGGAAATCCCATTTCCATTGCCGGTACCGCCGACCTGATGCTCTTCTTCTCCTCCGCCGTCTTTGCGGCGGCTGTTGTTGGTGTTGGTGTTCATCTTCATCAGGTCGATGAAGTCGTCGTTCTGGTGCTGCTGCTGCTTCGATCCCTGCGACAGATCCATTATCTGCTTGTCCAGAAACGACGTCGTGTTCATCGAGGAAATCCAACCGCGGACCGAGATTTTGGATGCTCCTTTTCGGGTTTTGGGAAATTGATATTATATTGAAGTTCGACGAAGTTAATGATTTAAACTTGCTGCGTTGCGACGTAAAAGCCGAATTAGATAGGACTTTGGATTTCTTTATTGTATTTATTTATTATTTTTCTTTTAATTTATTTATTATTCTGTTTCTTGGACTATCTTGATGGAAGGCCTTTGGGTTTCATATTGGGCCAGAAAATCCTTTTGGTGTTCGGACCAAATTAGCGTGCATTTTTTGGGCCAAGAACTAAGGTATCTAAAACTGATCTAACCAAAGGGCTATAAGGCCAAAAATAGCTCAGAATGACACGAAAATCGTTTCCGACCGAAGGCTAGGCGAAAGGGTTTGTGGGCCCCACCGAGCCAAAACCCCCCAAATCAGGCTAGCAAGTTGGCCATTTCCAGCCAACCCTCGAGCGCCAGAATGTCAAGCTTGACATTTTGCCAGCCCTCCAGTTCAACCCATTTGAATGCCAACAGCTACCTGGCGTCAGCATGACGTCATGTTGCCGTTGGAATTTGATTTTTTTTGTTTGGACGAATTAACAAAAAAAAAATTCTAATTTTTTTTCCTATAAATATCTAAGTTATTCCTACACCATTTCTCACATACTTTTCACTTTAGCGCTACTCACTTTAGCAACACGTGTTACTCAAAATCCTATCCGAAAAATTATTGAAATTACATAAAGATAAGAAATCTTGAGATACTCACATTAGCGACACGTGTCACTCGAAATCCTATACAAAAAATTATTGAGATTATACAAAGATAAGAAATCTAGATGCTTATTCATTTAGCGAAAAGTGGCACTCAAAATATGTCCGAAAACCTTATTTTAATATGGTAGTTTAATTTAATTAACCATATTAATTCAATTAAAATAATAAATTATGTTTGGCATATGGCCCTCTCGGTTGGAGATGATTTTTTGTCAAAGGGCTATGTTTGGCCTATAACTCTTTGGCCCCCTTGGTTGGAGATGGTATAAAATATAGCATGACATTGTTCATTAAAATATAATTTCTTGGAGGGCTATAGGAATAAAGGGAGCACTCTAGCCCTCCTTCGGTTGAAGATAGCCTAAAAGAAAGACAATCTTATTATTCCGTAAGATGGTTGGGACTGAACTGAACTATTTCAATCAATACGAGAGTCATGGTGGTCGGGACTTTCAGCTGTCACCTTCTTAACTTATCCATCCCAAGCAACCTTATAATTAAAAAAAGGGAATCATCTATTTTTTGAGTGGGTGTCAATCATTAATAGTAAAAAATGGGGAAGCAATGCCCAGCTTATCTTTTGCGATGTCTCAAATCTAGCACGAGTGGTCGTCTATTTTAATTATTTCACATCACACCATTTGAATTATTAATTCAAGACATCGCCACTTTGATGTCCTTGTCTCATGCACAACAGTACAAATCATTCTCGATATACAGGCTCTTAGGAAGAAAAACTAGTGAGGTATATCAAACAATTTGCCCTTTGAAAAAAAATACAAGTTATTCGAGTTAATTGACTACAATGACCCCATTGTGTCTCCGCAACTGCCAGGCTGCAGAGGCAGAACCTCGTGGTGGGGTTGTATTGGAGTAGATCCAAGAAAATTGAAGCAAAGACCAAAACCCTAAATATAACCATTACATCCGAAATATTGGAGACTTGAAAGCTCCTACTTAACAAAAGAATGCAATGGTTTCTTTTTATTTTTTGATATGGGCGCAATATGCCACCCTAACCCGAGAGCGCTCGAGGCGTGCATGATATGACCTAAGCATAGGGGTGGGCAAACGGGCCCTGGGCCCGCGGGTAGGGGCGGGTATTAGCGGTTCGGGGCGGGTACGGATTTTAAAAAAGAGAAACGGGGCGGGGCGGGGCGGGCCTTTGAAATTTTAGGTTCGGGCCGGTTCCAAAAGTGTAGAAAAATGGGTACCCGGACCGGCCCGTTTGCAAAAAAACCCCTTTGTTGGGTACTGTTATTGTCTCCCAGCCTCCCAAGCCCACTTCTTTTGTTCCTCCCCATGGGCCGTGACATTTCTCAATCTCCAACACACACACACACACACCCCATTTCTCAGTCTTCGTAACAAAATCGCTCGAACCTTCCTCATTCTTCTGCTTTGTTTTTTCTCCCCCCATCTCTGCAACTCTTCTTCCCGGAGCACAAACACACCACCCCCACACCCCACCGAGAAATGATATGCTGTCGCCACCCTCCTCCCCCACCAACTCCTCTGTCTCCTCCTCCGATCTCAACACCGAGGTAACGCATTTCCCTAATTTCTTCCAATTTCGTCAATTTCTTAATTTTGATTTACAAAATTTGTGAAAAGTTGTGAAATTTTCAATCGCATGTCTGGCTTTTGGCACTCCTTGTCCAGGATGAAGATGGTCTTGGTTTGTGGGTACGAGTGCTCGAAGGATAGCTTGGGGTTCGACCGGATCTCCACGTTTGAGTCGTCCAGCTGCAGTGGGGAGTGGTGGAGAGAACTGAGAAGGCGCACAACGTGATCAACTCAAGCTTTCTCTCTCTGGCGAGGAAGTTGGATCTGTGCAGCCTATGCTCCGGCGGCGCTTTCTCCGTTTTTCTTTTGTTGCCAGATGCTCAAATGGGAGAGAACTGAGAACACCTCGTTTCTGTAGTGGATTACAATATGACCCATGCTTTGATTTTGTCTGTTTCTTTATCATATTTGCAATGTTATTCTGAATGATACATCTTCTCAGATGTTATTGTTTGTTTGTTATTTTTTGATGTAAGAGGAGCAAGAGAAGCTGGAGAAGAAACTGAAAATTAGAAGGAAAAAAAAAAAACAGGGTACCCGTTGGACCCGTAGGAACCGGCCCGTTTTATACGGGCCGGGTTAGGTCCGGTTCTCAGTTTGAAAATAGTAGAATCCGTCCCGACCCGGCCCGTTGTATTTTCAAGCGGGTCCGGTCCGGTCCCTTCAATTTTGGGCCCGGCCCGGCCCGTGCCCACCCCTACCTAAGCATGAGGTGATAATGAATTTTTTACCCTCTCGACTTAAATCCCCATACAACCAATCACTTCAATACCGATTCTTATTTTTCTTTTGCTCTAAAATGAATACATACCACAGTAAACACCTTTACCCCCATAAAATATACACAACCTCCTCTTTTGTTTATTCCTCTCATTGCAAATCTAATTACTATTTCCTAATATGGATCAAACACTAGCTGGTTTACCGGAAAATAAACTTCACCGCGGTAAGACTTTAATCGTTGCTCCGGTTGAGTTCCAGTACAGTCTGCCAAATAGAGAACACAATCATGTTGATGAGTAAAAGTCGAGGAAAACGAACATGAGCACTATGACTTGATTCTGAAATGTACCGTGTTAAGAAGCCTGAGAGCAGCAGGCCGGGTAAATTTTCGAGCAAAAAGAAAGCACCGAGATGGTTTTCCCTTGCTGCTACACCATTCTCTCCGGTATTCAGTCTCGTAGTAGACATTATCTATCTCCTGAACATAAATTCATCAAATTACATTAGGATTCTGATAGTCTCTGTAAGTTAACATTCCAAATCAGCTGCAAATTTACGATTAAATTCAGACATTCCAGAAAAATCTCTACGGATATCAAAGATGTGCATACAGTTAGACCATGGCTGCATGGCATCAGGTTGAAAACTTAGTGAATGCACAGGTTGAAAACTTTGTTGGACAACCATGTCGTTTCCGTCAACTTGACTGTAATATTTTCCTGCCATTAAGCCAGTAGTAGAATATGGTTTAACCTAATAGTTAGGAACGAGATCCGTTATCGTGTCATTTATCCAACCTTTACTGATTGCGAATGGACGTTGCTGCCACATCAAACATATACACACTTGTGGCCGGACAAGAAAAATATATATGTACCTTTATAGATTCAATAAGCATGGGAGTAGCATCTGAATATTTGTAAGTCAAAGGGTGCCATCCACGGCGTTCACGGTCTCTAGAGGATGATAAATCCCATGACGTGCGTGTCAGTGATCTACGTGTGAGTTCTCCTTCAGGCCTTCTTGCTGAAAATTGAAATATAGCTAAACTATTATGGCGATGAAAGAGATACCATCACCGCTGTTTTAGCTTTCCAAAAGAAAGAAAATTTATCTTACAGCCAGTATGTCTGTTTTAGGAAAGATGAATAATATGGTAATTGTTATTATAAGATCTGATTTGAATAATATGGTAATTGTTATTATAAGATCTGATTAGGAGGTGAAGGTAAGATTGTGAGTCACCCTTAACTAACACTTTCCTGTGAAAGAAACGGTACATATCCGCCATATAAGTGTGTTGTAGCATATGGTCAAAGGTTAGAAGAGATTGGTTACACAAAAAAAAAACAATCTAGGAGTTCTTGTACAAAAAAATGTGGATGTCCATTCTTGTTGAAAGCTGTGAATATTGCCGATGATGACGATTGGAAGGTGTGAACATTTTATCCACCTTTTGTATATTTATCACATGTTCATCTCTTGTTGTTATAATAATCCTAATGCCCTGACCAAACGGTTCATGTTCTATCGCCAATTCATCTAATTGGTCTGCATCATCTATGTTATCAACTAGGACAAGTACCTTCATGCTTCCAAGTCTTTTCTCTATCTCCTTGGTCCCTTCAACAACACTGCTTACCTTGATGTCAAGTTGTTTCAAAATATCTCGAAGAAGTTGTTCTTGCACAACATCCATATTTTTCTTTTTACTCCTCATATCTTCAAGGTAACATTGACCATTGAAACTATGCGGATATTTGTTACAAATGACTCTCGCAAACGTTGTTTTACCTATACCATCCATAACCGAAATTCCAATTATTTGAACATTAAGTGAACCTCCAACATCTAAGTCCAACATCTAAGTGTTGAGTATTGAAGTCTTGCACTTGAAAAGCTATTCCAATTGAGTGTTTGGCTTCTTTTAAGTTTGTCATCTTCAGTAGTCCCCTGATGTCTTCAATAATTTTCTCAATAAACAATCCTCCACGTCTGACAATTAAAATTTGAAATTATATAAAAGTAAGTTTCAACATGCAACTGCAAGATTTATATGAACTAAATGCCTCAGTCATCATGATTAGATATTTTGACATCGAAAATGTTTGGAATAAATTAGATTTGATCGAGGTGAATAGTTAAGCTCAATTCAACCATGCTTCTGAAATGCATTATAACCGTATAATTAGATTGCTCCTGGTGACAAAATGTAAAGGATTCGCCCTTCGTGCATTACCATCAAATCAAGCATGTGACATGTGTTTCCCATGCTTCATTTTGTTGAAAATTCTCATACAATTAGGCATAAATGATTCATATTTCACGTTTTGTTAAATTCAGATACCAATACTCAACCTTTTTTTTTCTTCCTAAAGACGTATAAAGTCAAAGTCTGATTATAATCTCCTTATTTTTGGTGGATTAGTGAGTCTTAGAAGCTAATACAAGATCTTGGGTATTAAATTGAGAGGAAGAATTAAAAAAAATAGAAAAAAAAAACAAATTTGTATAAATGTTACTATCATTGGTCAATGATGTCACTGATTACGCGTTATTGCTATTTCTCCCATAGTTTAATTTGTATAAATGTTACTATCAAATTTATAAAAAAAAAAACAAATTTGTATAAATGCTTTACGAATTATGATGCAATTTCCTTTTTTGTATTTTTTGAGAAAACTGTAGCCCAACTTTGATCAGTTTCACAACGTTATTGTATTTTAACGGTGGTTTATATGACAACTTGAAAAAAAAGTATGTAAGTTCATATGACATTTAAAAACAAATTCATATTCTCAATTGTAGAAAATATCTCTAACCACTTATTGCTAAAACACGTTAACCCTGATGATGATACGCTTGTTAGTTCTATCTCTGCTTGTGCTCAGTTTTTATTTTGGACTTGGAACTTGTGGGCACGGTGTTTCTGTTAGGAACGGGTTCAACTCTGACGTACTTTTAACTAATGCATTGGTGACGGGTTCTGTCAAAACCGATGCTAGCTTGTTCCGGTTGACACACTTACATGTAAATTTCTCTGATGTCACTGATCAAATTGGAAATCATTAATTTATATTTGATAAGATGATAAGTTACTTATGTTTAATTAAGGACCCGTGACATTGCTTCTCTAGAAAGTGCTTAAGCTAGAAGTGCTTCTATTATAACCACATTGAAATTTTTATTAGAAACTCAAGCACATTCTAAAAAACCACTCATGGATGCTTTTTGAAAAGAAAAAAAAAAGGCGTATGCTTCTGCATGAACCGCTTCTTTGAGCCATATGAACAATCTTAAAAAGACCCCTAACTAGCGAGCATGGCCCCAACCTCCAATATTACTCTTAGAAACAATGAAATTGCGACGTAAAAACATGTTTTCATGGTCTTTACAGAGCAAAAAGATAGAGAAAAATGACCTGATTGGGTGAGATTTATAAACAAGTTGCTTCGTGCTTCATAAGTGCATTGGCAGTTTGTAGTAAATGTCTATGTACCTTCCTTACAATTCTCTTTACTGCGCTTTCCTTCAATTCATTGTTGTTTCTTCATCGTCAAAGCTATTGAGATCAAACCTTAATATTTTGCAGACCTCATCAGATGAGTGATCGCTTAACTTTGTACCGTCGTCAGTGTCGCCATCAAACTTATATGGTATAGTCTAATAGTCCTCCTCATCAGTATCATCATCAGACTCACATGGTACACGCTCATATTCCACATTTTTTTTTAATTTCTGGAGGTCAACCCATCCTACAAAATTCACTCTTGTTTTCTTCACCTTAATTTGATGATCATCCTATGTTCCAAAAAATTCTGCATGCACACGAAACATATCACCACTTTTCAGATTGAGCTTCCTGTTTGAAAGACTTCCCAGCCAAAGATAATCTTCATGGGAATCAGTTATGGTGGCATCCGTTGGCCAGATGGAAAATTAAGTCAGCTGGGTATGATTAACCACATCAATGCATAGAGACGCACTACACTAGGATGGTTCGAAGAATAAACGATGCACACAGCCAACCTTCCTATATAATCAAAACTTGGCGGCACTTCAAATTTGACATTCTCTTCCTCTCTCACGACATAGGTTAACCATTAAGGAATAACATTTCAAGAGTGACAAATTCCACCAAAATCCATCCCCCACCTTCCATTTCTACAACACGGCATGCAAAGTTTGTATAAGCAACAATACGACAAGGGGAGGGAGGGAGAGAGAGAGAGAGAGAGTGAGAGAGAGTGAGAGAGATCAAGGCTATCATGCAACAAAATATAAAAACTCATGTAGGACAATTAGGACAATTATGACAATTATGACAATTATGACTCATTGTAATCCTAAATGGGTAAGGTTTTTGTCTATCCTATTAGTATAAATAAAAGTACAATGGGATGATACGAAACATACCTCATAATTAAATCACTCTCTCATCTCTCTAATTGCCGTCGGCACCCTCTCTCTTTTTAATCATTTAGATAGTTCAATCAAATAGGCCTACAACAATTTATTATTTTTCTTTTAATTTATTTATTATTATGTTTCTTGGACTATCTTGATGAAAGGCCTTTGGGTTTTATATTGGGCCAAAAAATCCTTTCGGTGTTCATACCAAATTTAGCGTGCATTTTCTGGGCCAAGAACTAAGGTCATCTCCAACCGACCTGGTGAAAGAGTCATAGGGTTAAAAATAATTTGAAATGATACGAAAATTGTCTCCAACTGAGGGCTAAGCAAAATGGCTTGTGGGTCCCACCGGGCCAAAACCCCCAAATCAGGCCAACAGGCTAGCCATTTCCAGCTAGCCTTCCAGCACCAGAATATCAAGCTTGACATTTTGCCAGCCCTCCAACTCAGCCTACTTGAATACCAACGGCTGCTGTCAGATTACCGTTGGAATTTGAATTTTTTTTGGACGAATTTAAAAAAAAAATTCTAATTTTTTTTCCTATAAATACCTAAGTCATTCCTACACAATTTCTCACATACTTTTAAGTTTTCACTTTATCGACACGTGTCACTCGAAATCTTATTTGAAAAATGATTAAGATTACATAAAGATAAGAAACCTGGAGAGTTAATCACGTTAGCGACACGTGTCACTCAAAATCTTATAAAAAAATTATTGAGATTATATAAAGATAAGAAATTCGAAGGCTTATTCATTTGGCGACAAGTGACACTCAAAATATATCCAAAAACCTTATTTTAATATAATAGTTTAATTTAATTAACCATGTTAATTTAATTAAAATAATAAATTATGTTTGGCCTATGACCCTTTGACCCTCTCGGTTGGAGATGATTTTTTGTCAAAGTGCTATATTTGGCCTATAGCCCTTTGGTCCTTCGGTTGGAAATGATATAAAATATGGCATAACACTGTTCATTAAAATATAATTTTTTAGAGGGCTATAGGAATAAAGGGAGCCCTCTGGCCCTCCTTCGATTGGAGATGACCTAAAAGAAAGACGGTCTTATTATTCCGTAATGTGTTCGGCCTGAATTGAACTATTTCAATCAATGCGAGAGTCATGGCGGTTGGGACTTTCAACTCACTGTCTTAACTTATCCATCCCAAGCAAGCTTATAATTAAAAAATTTCATCAATTTTTTGCGTGGGTGTCAGTCGTTACTAGTAAAAAATGGGGAAGCAATGCCCCAACTTATCTTTTGCGGTGTCTCAAATCTAGCAGGAGTGGTCATCTATTTTAATTTTGTCACATCACGCCTTTTGAATTATTAATTCGAGACACCGCCACTTTGATGTCCTTGTCTCATGCACAATAGTACAAGTCATTCTCGATAAATAGGCTCTTAGGATGAAAAAGTAGTGAGTCATTCTTGATAAACAGGCTCTTAGGAAGAAAAACTAGTGAGGTATATCAAACAATTTGCCCTTTGAAAAAAAATACAAGTTATTCGAGTTAACTGACTACAATGGCCCCACTGTGTCTCCGCAACTGCAGGCTGCAAAGGCGGAACACCGTTGTGGGGTTGTATTGGAGTAGATCCAAGAAAATTG